CCTTCGTCGCGGCGCTGTGACGTATGCGGCCGACAAATTTGACCTTCGGAGGACCCGACCTGCCGTTTTGGACACAGCCCACATTTCCGAAACAACCAATCAAAACAGTTTGTCTCTACTAGGCTTGTAAACAGAGAGCTGCCGGGCCTCAAAGTTTGGAGACGGGGGGAGCCAGGAAGCACTTTATAAAGAGAGTCAAACCATTACAAACTCATACAAGGAGATAAAACAGACGTTTTACATGGTGAAATGTGACTGATGGAAACTTAGGAGCTTAATCCCACACCAGTTTGACCAGGAATAATGTCAGGTGATGAGTCTGACTTTATTATTGATTAATTTTTTTTCACATTGGACTCCACAGAGAAGAAATCCTGTTCATACTGCTGCTTAAATGTCCACTACGTCAGAACTTATTCAGTAAATGTGTTTCCACCTCTGCTTTTGTGCATTAACTCTGACAGGATGGGGGAAAGTGGACTTGGTGGAGGTTTGCACTCTCTGAGTGCTTCTATTTTTTATTTATTTTTTGTTGTTCTAAAATTTTTATTTTAATTTTTAAATGAAATGAATTAAACTAAACAAAAAAAAAGCTTCAAAATAAAAGTCTTCTCTTGGTTTTTCTTTGGCCGTAGTCTCCAAAACAAGCCTGTACTGTTCTGAGCTGTTAAATAAGTGTTAAAATGTTACAGATAATCATCTTTCACCCACAGAGCCCGTTTCCTGTTGGGCGGACGCCACGGAGACTTCAAGTTCCTGCCGCCCGCCGGTTACTCTCCGTGCTACGAAGCCCTCCTGCCAAAAGAAAAGATGCGCGTAGAGCCTGTGAAGGAGTACAAACGGGACCACGACGGGGTCCGCGATCTTCTGGGAACCACCCAGTTCCTCTCTCAGGCCTCCTTTATTCCCACTCCTGTTGACACCAGCCAGGTGAGGAGCTGGAGTTTACAGTTCAGCAACAAAGGTGCTTTCAGGAATTATGTTAAAATATGTTTTAAAAGAAAAATGTACATAACTGAGAATTAAATTAGCTTTATGGTGCGTTCACACCAAACGCGATTTCAGCGTCAGGAGCAGCAGGTTTACATGCAAAGTCTATGGTGGACGCGCTTCAAGCAACGTCGGGAAGTTCTGCGGCGCCTCAAGCGCGATTAGAGCAGCGCGATTTGAACGATTTGGACGATCTGAGCGTCGAACGCTCAGATCGTCCAAATCGTCCAAATCGCTGAAGTTAGAAAATCTGAACTTTTGCAGCTCGACGCGCAGCGTCAACCAATCAGAGAGACTCCACTGTGTGACGTAGCGACATATTTCCCGACGGGACAGTTTACTGAATGAGGTCCACTAACCTGAAACAGACAGAGCTCCTGCTCTTCAGCTGAAATGAGTGCYGCAGTSGTGTCCTGATCCGCAGCAATGCGTGACAGCRACTCATCAGACTGAAAAAAATAGTCCTGAAAGCAGCTGTGAGCCTCTACTCTGAATTATCTGGTGAATTAATTATGAATTAATTATCTGATGAACGTGACACGTTCTGGCTGTCTGTAAATAAAGCAAAGCCACTTCCTGGTCCGACATTAAACAGCCCCACAGAGGAGGGAGGGGCGGGGCGGCTGTCGCCGTGCGGCGCTTCAACAACTGTCCTGCGTCTGACCTCAAAGTGCACAAGCTTCAGACTTCAGCGTTGGCTGCGATTTTGAAGCTGAAATCGCGTTCGGTGTGAACGCACCATTAATCGTGTGAATTCCTTTGAGCAACTGAGATGATCCACTTTTCTTCCATATGTTTTTTGGCATCTAACTCTTTTGTGTTTTTGTGTTATTTCCACAATTCATTTATTATAACGTTCAGCTCATTTATGCCATCGGTGCTATGACTTCTGATATTTCAGCARCTTAAGCCTTTTCAGCTATTTAGCTTTTTGTATTTTTTTTCTTATTAAAAATGAATGGAGCTGTTTTGAACATCTAAATCCTTCAGAAATGTTTATAAATCTTTACTGTACCTTTGAACTTTTTTTTTTGCTAATGTTAGCTGTTTCAGCTGTCTTTCTGCTCCTTTCAGCTATTTTCTTTTAAACATTTACACTTCTATCAGCTTCTTTCTGCTAATTTAAACTAAAATTTTTTTTTCATCTAAATTCACTTTTTTGTGATAATTTCAGCTTCTTTCTGCTTCATTTAGTAAATACGCTCTTCCTGCATCTTTGTGCTAGTTTCAGCTTCTTCAGCAGCGTTCAGGAATAATCTTTCAGCGCTAAAACATTCACATTGCATTCTCACAGGAAAYGTAAATTCTCTGTAATTATTTTTCCCCTCTGCAGATCGTTCTTCCTCCTCACCTGGAGAACATCCGCGACAAGCTGGCAGAAAACATCCACGAACTCTGGGGGATGAATAAGATTGAACTGGGCTGGACTTACGGCAAGGTAAACCTGTGAGGGGAGAGAAGTCCAACACAAATGCTGCAGTTAGTTGAAAACAATGACTGATGACGGTCAGCTGCAGTCATTAATCTTAAAAATGCCTCTTGATGGCTCATTAACGTGAAGATTTCTGTTTTAACTACATGGTTTGACTTATGAACTGTTAATGCACGCAGCTACTAATATTAAAGTAGACACTCTCCATCAGTGTGTGTTCTGTAGTCTTTAAGCCTCTTTGTTTGTTATAATGTGTGATTTTCTTTGGTTTAAACTCATCTTTTAGACCCTAAAATCAAGGCAGAAACGATAGATCATAAAAGTCCATCTATGTTACTGGATTAAGGGATTTGGTTACGTGTTTTAAGCCATTAAAATATTTTCAAAGGACATGTAAATTCCCTAATAACTGATGTAGTCCTTCCTAATGTTTCTCTAAATTTAGAGGCGATTCTTATTTTTATCTTTCCCGTGAAATAAACCATGACTCAGCATTTTCCACAGCTCTTCTTGAAAGAAGCCAAACCTTTTTTTTTTTCAAACTCCAGCGTGCAATATCTGAAGGCATTTTCATCACTCCTGTCTGCACCATTTCCCTCCCTCATCATTTTCCCCTCAGTCACTCCCTTACTGCAGAATGTTCCATCAGAAGTCTGATCACACACTTCGCCTCCTTTTGTACCGTTGTGGTTATCACAGAAWGATGATCCTCTGGGGCTGTAGCCACAGAAACCATTCAGCAAAATTAATGAGCATCTTTCCAAAGAGAGTGACGTCCACGTTAATTAAGACTGAGAGAAAGCTGTCGTCAGGAGGTCTTTGAGACGAACAAGGAGAGCATTTAGGTCTAAACGGCTGCTTGGTGGTAAATGTTGCAGCTCCATCTCAGAGTGACGTGATTCCACGTTTTGACAAGATGCAGATATTTGAGCTGCAGGATGATGATGAAGTTGCATCATCTTTGTTTCTTTGTTGGTCTGACTATTTTTACCTTCAGTCATAAACTACTGTTGTTAAAAGAAGCGTGATTCATCAAACGTCTTCACATCTTTTTTACTTGATGTAAATCTGCAGTGACACTTCTCTGAGTTGATTATGGTTCTTAAAATGCTCAGAATGAAACTAGAACTGAAGAACTTGAACTGTTTGATGAGGGCGACATGCAGCCCCAAGTTTTACGTGTTCAGCTGTGGCGGCCATCTTGAATCTGACTCTAAAAGCTAATCAGTAGTAGATCTGAAAACAAACACAAATCCCTCTGGGAACATCTATTAGATCAAGCAATCTGACTTGATCCAGTTGTTTTGTTTCTGAATGCTTTCATGCTGTTTTCATGAAATCTGTAGAGTTAAATATTTGTCTGCTTCTCTTTGCAGGTTCGTGACGACAACAAGAGGCAGCACCCTTGCCTCGTGGATTTCACCAAACTGCCTGAAACTGAAAAGAACTACAATCTGCAGATGTCCAGCGAAACACTCAAGTATGACCTGCTGGTTAAACTGGAAACACTGAATGCTGAGAGCTTTACTGGAATTTCTCCACGAAGCTGAAGGCTAAAAGAAGGGGAAAAAAATTAACCCAAACATTTCAAAATGCTGGGTAAAAGCTAAATGCAGTATGTTAAAAAAGCCTAGTTTAGACTCTTCTCTGACTGAAAACTACAGACCGATCTCCAAACTATTTTTATCAAAAATCCTTGAAGSTGGTAGCTGAACAATTGATTTGCTTTTTGGAGGAAAATGACATTATGGACATTTTTCTGTCTGGATTTC